ATATAATTACCTTTACAGGCATAACTATCTCTCTACCTATCTGTCTACCTATCTACTTATCTACCTATCTATCCATCCGCCTATCTGTCTGTCTATCTATCTATCTATCTATCTATCTATCTATCTATCTATCTATCTATCTATCTATCTATCTATCCATCCGCCTATCTGTGTATCTATCTATCTATCTATCTATCTATCTATCTATCTATCTATCTATCTATCTATCTATCTATCTATCCATCCGCCTATCTGTGTATCTATCTATCTACCTATCTATCTATCTATCTATCTATCTATCTATCCACCTATCTGTTTATCTATCTACCTATCTATCTATCTATCTATCTATCTATCTATCTATCTATCTATCTATCTATCTATCTATCTATCTCTGTTTATCTATCTATCTATCTCTGTTTATCTATCTATCTATCTATCTATCTATCTATCTATCTATCTATCTATCTATCTATCTCTGTTTATCTATCTATCTATCTATCTATCTATCTATCTATCTATCTATCTATCCGCCTATCTGTTTATCTACCTATCTATCTATCTATCTATCTATCTATCTATCTATCTATCTATCTATCTATCTATCTATCTATCTATCTATCTATCTATCTATCTATCTATCTATCCATCCGCCTATCTGTTTATCTATCTATCTATCTATCTATCTATCTATCTATCTATCTATCTATCTATCTATCCATCCGCCTATCTATCTATCTATCTATCTATCTATCTATCTATCTATCTACTTATCTACCTATCTATCCATCCACCTATCTGTGTATCTATCTATCTATCTATCTATCTATCTATCTATCTATCTATCTATCTATCTATCTATCTATCTATCTATCCATCCGCCTATCTGTGTATGTATCTATCTATCTATCTATCTATCTATCTATCCATCCATCCATCCATCCATCTGTTTATCTATCTATCTATCTATCTATCTATCTATCTATCTATCTATCTATCTATCTATCTATCTATCTATCTATCTATCTATCCATCCATCTATCTGTTTATCTATCTATCCATCCATTCTATATACATTTTTTCTCCTCTATCTGATGTAAAAACAGAAAATATTTGCATTTTTTACATAATAATTTGAATCATAAAAAAATTATGTTGTTGTTTCTTTGTTTGTTTAAATATGTCTATAGTTTTTATTAATTTTATTTCAGTTTCAGTTATTTTAGTAAATCAAGTTAAACTAAATGAAAATTAGAAATATTAAATATTAGAAACATTTCATTATTCATGGTATCAGTTTTAGTTAACTATAATAACCCTGCATGGTGTTATGCTAATAATATGTTTACCTTGGAGAAAATTCCCATGTTATGAGACACATCCACTCCGACGCACACACACAACACACACACACACACCCTAACGAACAGAATCCTGTGTGCAGAAGCTGACTTACATAATACTGAGTTATGAGACGATCATCCTGAACGTTCAACTGCTCGCTCCTGATGGCATCTGCCAGAGTCTGTTGATAAGACGGCTTCTCCTGATCCAGAACCTTCTGGACCTCGTCCTGAACCTGGAGTCGGGCTGCGGCGTGAGCCTGGGCCTTCGCTTCAGCTTTCTCTTCCTCCAGACTTACGAAAACACACAGAAACAAACACTGTTTAAACACTAAAACTCACTGCATTCTTGCGTATGTTGTTGAAGGATCTTGATCAGATCAGTTTTCACCGTTGTCGCATATTACGCTCTGCCATCTTCATCTCCTCGTTCAGGAGCTTCTGGAGATCTTCTCTGATCTGCTTCCTGAGCTTTTCCTCATTCACTAAACAGAAGAAACACACCAACATTTCAGCATGAATGGAGATTAAAGTCGACATGAGATGAAAATTCATCCCCTTCTATTTTCAACATGCATGTTATAGAATAGATCTTATGTACATACTATGTACAGTAATTACAATAACTGGGTAATAACTAGGTACTAACACCGAGCCTTAACCCATGTAGTTACCTTATATTACCCGGTACTTTTTAGGTAAGTACACTATGTAAGTACAGGTACTGTAAAATAAAATGCAACCAACAATTCTTTTTTTTTTTTACTAAATCAAAATGCAACAACTGGTGAAAATGACAGACTTCTAGTAATAACCTGCTAAAACTCGGATGTACGTCAAAATACGGACATCAAGTCAAATTGATTTGCTTTTTACAATAAAGCTTTACAGAAAATCAAGATTTCTTCACATTTTGCGAGGATACAAGCAATCAAGCCGTTGACATTTGCTATATAATATAAATTGTTTTACGTCAATTTACTGAATGTATGCGGAAAAAGTTGGACATATTTACGCAACTTTATATAAAGAGCTGGCCGATAATATAGTTAACATTTTGCAAAGAAATAAAACATCAGGGAGTTTAGACTTGCTATGATGTATATTGCTTTACACTAATATATACAACATGCATACGACATAACAAATATCCAACTTTATATAAAGAGTTGGGTGATGGTATAGTTACATTTTGCAATTAAATAAAAAAAATCAGGCAGTTGAGATTTGCTATATAGTATATATCGCATTATGAGAGTATAGGCTACTGTATGTACTATGCGGATAAAGTTGGAGATTATAAATATCCAATTTTATATAGAGAGCTGTGTGACAGATCATTTCATCGACTTTAAGACTGAGTTAAGCAGTCAATCAGTCAAAAAAATTAACCAGAAAGATTGTGGTAAAAGCCTAATATACCAGATTATGAACTTACCAATATGTGTTTGTGGTGGAAAGACCTCGACTTGGTCGATTAAGGAAGGAACAACAGGAGGTTTTTCAGTTGAAGGTGTCTTGGAAGGCATTTCACCAGGCAAAACCACATCTGACGCAGATCCAGATGGTAACACAGTAGACTCCTCCATGACAGATAAAACGGGATCAGGTATGGAGATTGGGAAGGGTGAAGTCTCAAGCTCAGCAGGTGAAGGTACAGGTAACTCTATGGGGTCGGCAGATATTGCTTCAGCTGCTAAAGTAGAGGAGAACGGAGTCTCTACGGGTTCAATCGGTACAACTACAGGTTCAATGGAGGACTCTAAAGATGTTACAGGCTCAGTAAGTGGGTTTGTGGTTAGTGAAGGTGGATTGGTTACAGGTTCAGTAGTAGAGGTTGTGACAGGAGGGGGTATTAAGGGTTCAACAGGTGCACTGGTTGATTCAACTAATGGAGGAGCGGTTATTGGTTCACTTGAGGCTCGTGAAAGAGCATTTATGGGTTTAGCAGGTTGAGGATCAGGTACAGGTATGTTAGCAGATCCAGGTTGAGGATCAGGTACAGGTATGTTAGCAGATCCAGGTTGAGGATCAGGTACAGGTATGTTAGCAGATCCAGGTTGAGGATCGGGTACACCTACATGCTCAGTACTGGTAGGTGGAGGAATTGGAAGACCCTCAGGTGACTGAACAAATGAAGGAGGTGTAGATGTTTCCTCAGTCACAGGCGGCACTAAAGGTGTTATTGGCTCCCAAAGAGGAGGAGGGACCAAAGCACTGGCATATGAAGGAGAATGAGGCATTATGGGTACATTACGTTCATCTGGAACTGAAGACTCAGCCGGAGGAGTCGATGATGATCTGGTTGGCGCTTGTGGGCGAACCACAGGTGGAGACTCCTTCATTCGATCAATCACTCTCTCTGAAAGCTGTTTATCATCAGATCAGAAATAGCATTGATATACATTTTCTTTTGCCCATTAAAATATGTGCACCATTGCGGTTTTACAATGATAACTGAGAATTTTTTGTGACAATTTAGAAAAGTGTATGATGGCCCCACAAGAATCTCTTGCCCAGATTATTGTTGTCCAAATTGAATTTACTAATCTTTTTCAAACTTTGTAATATTAATACCAGGATTCGTGGATCTTCATTAGCTGATATTGCGTTTTTTTTTTTTTTTTTTTATGCAAAATGCAAGCAATTACAAAATAATGCAGGAATTGATTGAAATTACCATTAATTAAGTATTTTGCCAATATCATGGTACAGCATAATACCATTATTCATTGATATTGGCAACCAAAATCATGTACCATGGTACTACAATATGTCTATAAGTAACATGAAAGTTTACCAGTCATGTCTAGGTGTAGTATGCATGCATGCTTAGTATGCAGATCAGGTCAACATGCATGACCCATAGGCTATATTTAACATAACATGCCCTGCACAGCAGTACATTTTATTCTACACCCATAAAATCTTCACAAACAATGCATTTCTTTGCATTTTGCACGATATTCCAATGGTATAAGATTTCGACTGAATCCGTGAAACTGCAGTTCAATACGTACAATAACAAACTTACGTTCTCAAGCAAGCACCAAAGAAAGTTTTGTATGAGCAAGAGATTATGAAGCTATAACTACTTAATAACGAAGAGGGAAAACTCCTTTTCATAAGTTTATTGTTAACTATTAAGTTACACTTACCCGAATGCCCTTTACGAATGTAACCTCGTCGGCCTCATCGAGGGAAACGTGGCGCGAGCTGCTGTTGCCTCCCATCACTGCGACCTCTATAGTTTAATCATGTGATAATTATTGTAAATAAAATACAAAAAACGGGATTTATCTGATGGGAAATTCAGTACGGGCTTCAATATCTGCCGAAAGCTCGTGTTCAGTCCGGCCCTTCCCACTCAGTCTCACACCCTGAGGAATTTCTCTGTACAGCCCCGCGTTCATTCAAATCTACTGAGAGACAGCGAATTATTATTGCCAGATAATTAACGTTTATAATCGAGAATAAATGTGTGTTTTTTTCAACATATGTTTTATATACAATTATATAAATGGGAAGGGATCATAAAATATGTAAAGTTAGAACGACTTGAAGTGGACATTCTTCTAACTGCTTTTCGTGATGTTTAGGGGCGTGGCTAATATGATGTAAATCCAGCGATGTTTTATACATTGTTTTTGTTTGATAATTATGTACATTTATAACACTATACCTTGCATTATATTACATTTGCATCAAATTACAAGAGAAACTAATTAACGCTGCTGTGAGGAGGGTGTTTGTCAAATTGACATCTTTCTCTCTTCCGACTGCCGTTTTCATTCTCTCTCTATTTTTACCTCTTTTGAAAGTTGTGAAAAACACTACAGTGGAGTTTTTCTTTTGCTACGTGAGCAAATGGGAACACGAAAAATATATTTAATGTAGGCTCTCATAAAATTGGGGGCGTGGCTAATGTAATATGTAAATAATACATGAGGTGATTATTATTATTCATTATTATTCAAAATGGTAAAAACAAACTGTTTCTGCATACTAAAAATGTAAATCATACACTTGAAAACGTTTTAGCGCAATCCATCATTATTTTAATGTAACAATATTAACAATAACTGCATTAGTTGTTGTATTTTGGTGGAATAATGATGAATTTTTGTAAAGAATGCTGTGCTGTTTTTTTTTTACACAAATCCATGCAACAAATTGTACAAATTGTAGCCTCATGAACAACACTCATACAGTTTTGGCAGTCTTGTTTTCTACAGTATTGCTTTAGCTCACCCTGATGAAGCGCTAGAGTAAGTCAGAAAAACCTCCTCAACAAAATGTAAAAACTGATATAATGACTACAGCATAAAATTATTACATAAAAGTTTTGCATTACCTTTTGTAGTCGTATTTACTTTATTATTTCACACATGTAAGTGGGCCGACACATTCCGCTGACTTACCGAAACTGGGTGTGATTAAAAACCGGAAAAGAAATAAATACTTGTGGAAATGAATACATAATTCTGAATGTAAATATGGTGGCAGGAACAAAAGAAGGGTCCATTTCGGCAAAAAACAATCTGAAACAGGTCAGGGATTGTGCAAGCTTGCAGACAAATGCTCTAACAGACCTACACACACATCTGGCTCAAAAACAGCTCATAAAATTGGCCCAAACACACTTCAAGCTCTCATCCATTCACACTAAATCAATGAAAACGGACAACAAAACACACTCGCACGGAACTAAAGAGGTATTGCAATTCCTGTACAGTTTACTCTGCCTTCTTGTGGGCTTTCTCTCCTTTCATTCCCACACGAACGCTGGACCACACTTCCGTGTAGAGCAACGTTCCCAGGAACACCACGGCCGTTCCCACCCAATGCCAGGTTGTGAAGGGATTACGGAAGTACAGGATGGAAATAATGAGGCTCAGAAACTTGCGCAGTGTCACCACCAGTGTGACCGTGAGCGAGGCGCACTCTGTAGTCAGGATGAAGACGCCGCGGATACACACATATCTGGGAAATCTGGATAAGGTCGATATATGCAATATAAAACTGACTCTTGGCATGTTCTACAGTCCTGTCCACTAAAGCTTATAAACAACATGTTAATATGACAAATTCGAAAGGATACTGTGTGATGACGTTCATCAGCAGGTAAAACCACATGACTGGCATAGACTGACCAATCACAGGGATTTCCACTGGAGCTTTGAGAGAAAGTCATCGGTTTGTCATTTCAAAAGCCAAACTTTTTAAGGCTTACACAGAAATGAACACTTTTATTCAGCAAGGATGCATTTAATTGATCAAAAGTGACTGTAATGACAGTTATAAGATTTCTATTTCAAATAAATGCTGTTCTTTTGAACTTTCTATTCACCCAAGAATCCTGATTATTATTATTTTTATCAGTTTCCATGCAAATATTAAGCAGCAAAAACTGTTTCCAACATTGATAACAATAAGAAATCAAAAGGATCACTGAAGATGAATCAGCTTTGATCACAGGAATAAATTACATTTTAAAATATATTAACATAGAAAACAGTTATTTTAAATTGTAATAATATTTCACTTTTCTTTTTACTGTATTTCTGATCAAATAAATGCAGCCTTGGTGAGCAGAAAAGAGTCGAATCAGTCATTTGTTGAATCAGACTCACAGCTCTGGCTGAAGAGCACGGCGTGTTTGTAGATGTCCGTTGACAGCAGGAGGAACCCTGGTAACGGCAGACAGTGCTGAAATAAAGGCAGAGAAATTAGACTTTATCCCACAAACTCATATATGACAGCATCAGATGTACAGTTAGGGACTCACATTGTAGAACAGCGCCTCCTTGGAGTGTTTTCCATACTTCTTGTACAGAGTTTCTTGGAAAATCCCCATTCTTGCAGACATCAGCAAGGCGAACGTCAGCATGGCGATACCTGAAACACAACAGCACTAATTTAATGAAATATCTTGCTTACGTGACTGGTTATGGGTACTCCAAAATAAAAAATAAATTGTAAAGCTGAATTTTCAGCATCATTACTCCAGTCTTCAGTGTCACATGATCCTTCAGAAATCACTCTAATATGATGATTTGATGCTCAAGAAACATTTCTGATTATTATCAATGTTGAAAACAGTCGCGCTGCTTCATATTTTTGTGGAAACTGTGATACATTTTATTTTTCAGGATTCTTTGCTGAATAGAAAGTTCAAAAGAATAGCATTTATTTTAAATAGACATCTTTTGTAACATTATAAATGTCTTTACTGTCACTTTGGATCAATTTAATGCATCCTTCCAGTATAAAAGTGTCAATTTCTCTCTCTCTCTATATATATATATATATATATAATGCTGACCCAAACTGAATGGTCCTGTGCAAATCTTAAGTGAATAACCGTATGAAACATTCTACATACTACTAATAATGTGGATACAACTATTTTAAATGCTTATTTTTACGAATGCCATTTAACATGTTATTTTTTTAATATAATTATACTGTATACTGTGCAGAAATGCGGCAAACATTGAATGTGCAGTGAAAATATTACCCAGAAGCCAATGCATGAAGGCATGAACACCATCTTCCTCTGTGGCCCCTTTCTTAACACTCTACATAAGGATCAAACCTGATGTATTAGGTGCAGATAAATGTGAAATAAAGCATTGAAATGCCTCTTATAATATGAAACAAGTACTAATACAGTATTTGGCAACCCAGGCTGATTTCGCAACTCACCACTTGTTTAGCCGACATAATAGTGCAGATGAAAATGCCCAGAGACACCAGAGCGATGGAGAGATATTTACTCATCGAATATCTGCAGTCACAAAAAAAGTAATAATATTAATGAACAATATGCAAAATAAACTGAAAGTTAAAGAGGCCATATTATACCCTTTCACAAAGTCTTGATTTAGTTTTTTTGGCTCTACTAGAATAGGTTTTCATGCTTGAATGTTGATTATTTCCCCCATATTCTCCATTGTCTCAGCTCGTCTCTTTGTGCTTTGTAACTTTGTAGACCTTTTTCGCGCTCAAACTGCAACATTACACACTGAAGAAAGATGAACATGTAAAAAAAGCATAATAGGTCCTCTTTCAGTAATGGTTTTGTGTATGATCTTCAGCATACCTTTTCTTCAAGATGACAATACCGAGAATCATGTTTGCTATTAAAGATCCCTGTGAACAAAAGGAGAACTTAGAAAGATATTTAAGACACATTCCCAAAGCAATGAATGAAACGAACGACACTCACTGATCTGAAGATCATATGCAGTGGCATGGCGATGTTAAAGTTCAGGGCGTAGTTATTGATAACGCTGGCGGTAAAGAACATAGTCACCATGATCACATAGTTACTGCAAAAGAAGAGGGACATTGAAGGTCATGAAAGACAGCAATGTTAAGCTGTAGCTTCTGATGGACAAGAGGGAAAATCAATGCTGAATGCAAATAATGTAATGCATCAAACCATATGAGCATCCATACAATATTTTGATCAAATTCATGTTACTTGGCAAATTAGGCAGATTCCAACATGAACAGATTTGCATGACATGCCCTCATACTGAAACAAATAAAACGTTTAACTGAGGTCATTTTCATTTATTTTACAGATGTACAAAATCTGTCCAAAAGCAAAACCAGTTAAGAACCACTGAATGTAAGAGATGTGTCTTATCTGGTCTGTGATTCTAGATTTAGCACAAAGACTGTAACATAAGACATCTTGTTGAGGTTCAAAACTGCACGACTATGTTTGGAATGGAAGACGAGCGTAACGCTTTCAAACCGGAGTCCAGGGAGTGACAGGAGGTCCGTGGAAAAGTCCAGTAATTAAAAAAATAAATAAGAATAAAATAAATAATAAGAATAAAATAAGTAAATAAATACATTAGATTAAAAAAAACATTTAAAATATAAATCAATAAATATAAAAATAAAAAATAAAAAATCTGTAAATTACATATTATTATTATTAAATGTTTTTTTTTGTGTATAAACTGGGTGTTAATAAAAGATATTTTAAAAAAGGGCTCTCTCACATAATCATATTTGGGGGCCCATGTCATCTAAAATATTGAACCCCCCTGGTTTAACATACACTGTGCAGTGCAGTATATTAGCTTTCAAGTACGTGAAACATTATGCAGTATGCTATATTGTTGTCACAACACCACATTCAGCAAGTGGTATCCAGTTTTCATATCCGATATTCGATGCAAATATGAGATGCACTTTATTTTAAGGTGACGTAGTCACATTGTACTTACTCAAATAACTAATATTAATTAACTACATGTACTTACTATAGAGTTGCGGTTAGGGTTAGGTTTTAGGGTTAGTTACTTGTAATTATGCATAATTTACTGTTATTACTATAGTAAGCACATGTAGAAATGTGTAACTCATGTCAGCTTAAAATAAAGTGTTACCCAAATATGTACACCATACAAAGCATGCACATATACATATACATAATGTTCACAGCACTGATCTGTCGAAGATCTCTGAACTGAGCTTTGACTTGCAAACCACCTGTACCAGTGACAAAGCAAGGCGCTCACCTTTCACCTATAATAATATAATAATTAATAACAACACTGCCTTTTATCACCTCGTTCAACAAGCAAAACTGGTTGTTTCAGTAAAAATGCAAATGTGCATTTCATTTTTGTAAAATGAATAAATGCACAATTGCACATATAACATAATGGGATGGGAATCAGGCAAATCATTCGACATTCACCTATAATGATCAATGAATTTTCACTGCCTACTAATCAAGTCTGAGAAGCCAAAAGAAAATGGTTAGAATTAAAATGCACGTGTGGAAATTGTATAAACTATTAACCTGAGGGGTATTTGTGGCTTTTTGCGTCCAAAGTTTGTCTCGAAGATGAACCCCTCCAGTGCAATGAAGGCAAACTGGGCAAATGTGACAATATTTCCACATCCTGGGAAATCCCTGTAAAATATGTGATTTAAAGAAGTAAGAACTGACAGGATATCAGACATGACTGACACTGAATGATCATAAGTGAGAGAAATGCAACTCACCTAACCAAAAGTTCCAAAAACACAACATTGCTGCAGCAACCAACAAACACCAAACTAGTCGCTAACAGCGTATTCATTGTTAAAGGCTAAAATGAAACAATTATTTCAGCAGTTATTTCAGCTTTACACTAATCCGGATGTTGGCATTGTGAATAATACATTTGTAAATGTTCCTGCACTTCAATGAACACGCCTCCTGACTAGCGACAGACATGCGTTCCTGCTTCCCACCCCCTCTTGTGGGATTTGTAGTTTTTTGTCTCTAATTCAGAATGCATCCGGGTACGACTGAAAACTACATTTCCCAGCATCACAAACGGAAGCGAGTAGGTTTATTCCTTTTACTGTGGTTTATTCCTTTATTCAAACGAACAAACTTTGCCAGTATTTACGTTGGAGTTGTATAATCCCGAGAGGTAGCAGTAATAAAATAGCTTTAAAATAAAATAAAGTAAATAATAATAATAACACTGTAAACTATTTAAACAAAATTGCAGCGCGTCTCTGCGTCATTTCAGACTTTTAAAGTATCTCTACGTGTTTCCGGTGTCGTGGCGATCACACACAGAACAGTTTTACTCTTCAGTCAGTAAAGCAGCTGATATACACAACACAAACATGATTTCATTAACGGATTCACAGAGTAAGTCAAATTTACTGTATGTTTGCGTTATGTTAATCGTGATAGAAATAGTGAAAATGCGGCTTTAAAGCTGGAAAATGTTCTTAAAGTGATGAAAGGGAATGAATGAGGATAGACGGCCTGGCCTCTAACAGTACAATCAAATATAGTAAAACTCTTAAAATTAATGAAGAACGGCGATGCCATGGTAATAGCACTGCCATTATGGTTTTATTGATTTATTTCAAAAAGGGAAAGTGTACATTAATAAACATCAATGAATGTAAATGTACCCAAATTAGCCCGAAGGCTAGTGTAATGTACTATAGTATGTAAATCTGGGAATCATTAGATTTATCAATAGTATAACCATATTATACTGTTGCTGTTCTGTGGTATTACATCTATCTATCTATCTATCTATCTATCTATCTATCTATGATGTTGAATGTCCTATCTATCTATAATCTGTCTGTCTGTTTATCTATGATGTTGAATGTTATCTATCTATCTATCTATCTATCTATCTATCTATCTATCTATCTATCTATCTATCTATCTATCTATCTATCTATCTATCTATCTATCTATCTATCTATGATAGATATATTACCATGACATTCTCTGAACAAGTGCTGTGATGTACCATGCAAATACCATGGTAAATGGTAATCAAATCTTTTCCAAACCATAAAAAAAAAAAAAAAATACAATTGCAAGTTGTACAACAGTATTACTTGTATACTTGAAGTACTTAATGTCAAATATAAGCAACCTCTCAAATATAACTCACTTGCATGCAGTAACTCTCTATAGATTTGTAATTGAGCACTAATGAAGTCTGTTCTTGTGTTTGATCAGAGATCGGGATGGGGCTGACGGGTTTCGGCGTGTTTTTTCTCTTCTTCGGAATGATTCTGTTCTTTGATAAAGCACTCTTGGCCATAGGAAATGTGAGTGTGTGCTTTAGTATGGAAACAAAGTTGTTTTTGAATGGAGTAAAATGTGATGTGAAAGCTCAGATTTGTGTTATGAAATAAAACCCTCCTTGAACTGAACATGGATGTCTGTGTGTTTGTAGATCTTGTTCGTTGCAGGTCTCTCATTTGTTATCGGGCTGGAACGGACTTTCAGGTTCTTCTTCCAGCGGCATAAAATGAAAGCCACTGGTTTCTTTCTGGGAGGCGTTTTCGTGGTGCTCATAGGATGGCCGATTGTAGGCGTCGTTCTGGAGGTCTATGGATTTTTCCTTCTTTTCCGGTGAGTTTTTTGTTGTTGTTGCTGTTTTATTCACAAACCCTGACAGGGTGTTTTTGGTGGTTCTGTGTGACCATAAAGGGGTTTATATTTATTTATTTTAAGCTACACTGTCACTTTTTTGTTCAAGATGAACAGATTTAAAGTCAGTTGCGATAGTATTTTCTTCCCTGTTGTAACCATAGGTTGTAAAAAAAAATGTCTCCACTTCCTTTGGCTGTAGAAAATGTCACCAAAATATCCCAGAAAGGTTGTTGCTGATTACATAAGTCGGAGCCCAAGTCGCTCATTGGTATCAAGGTCCCGGTCCTGCCCATAGACCTTATCCACAGCAGCGCCATCTTTGATTTTCATTCCCATTTTTAATGGGAATGAAATCGAGGCTTTGAGGGATAGACATGCATCTCTTCAGTGGGTTGTACTGTTATTTCATGTGTTGCTGACGAAACACTGCAAAAATATCTTTCCAAAAAATGTACAAAAACTCCAGACAACATGAGCTGTGGGAAATTTTGAATGATCTAGCTTTTACAGAGGATGCCACTGAAAACACGGCAAGTCTTTCCCTCGCGGCCTCGTTTTCATACCTGTCATGGCGCTGCTCTGAATAAGGTCTATACTCCCACTCCCGCAGACTCAATCGCAAGCACAGCTGTCAATCATGATGTTACACCCCGTTTTTATAGCATATTTTTAGCGTTAATAAGAACTACCTAAAATGACAAACAAACATCCTGGGGAAAAATATTTTTTTAAGTGTAATAGAATTTTTTTAGTTTGCCTCACATGGAGAGGGTGGGTTTAATGACATACACTGCAGCCAGCCACCAGGGGGCGATCAATGCTTTAGCTTCACTTTTCAGGAAGTTTGCGGCACACCTGGTTGTAACGCATATCTGACCAATGTGCATACTATCCATCCTAAATAGTACGTGAGATCAAAGCATTGTATGCCGAAAAGTCCCCGGATGGTCTACTATTTTCGGTAGATTTTCGAAGTTTGGCTCCATGCACACTCTAACGGCTAACATCACCCACAACCCATTGCGCTTTGGAGGAGGATTGGGTTCAGAACTACAAACACTGATTTATTATGCAATTTTATGATGTGATTGTATGTCCCACTCCCAAAGCTTGTGTACTCTTCTGCTACACACTCAAAAGTATGTACTTTTTCTTCACAAAAAGAGTAGCCTATATACTTTTATGGCGTTGTTTAAGTAGTTGGGAGTGACGCAGCATGAGTGTAACAGCTTTGCAAACAAGAACAAATGTAAGGGGGGCTTGATTTTGTCCATGGGGAATTGATTGGATGGTTGTGGCAGGGCTCGAATTTCGGTGCGGGATTGCGGGTATTGCGCATAATACTAATCATTCCCGCAGGTCTCCCATTTATATGCGGGAAATTCCCGCAATCGTAATCCACAGAGATTATAAAATCAAATCATTCTTTTAACAACTATCTGCCAGACGCAATTTCACAAACAGCGTGAGTGTTCAGCGGTGCCGCGTCTCTTCTCTCAAAATGTGTTGTGCAAGGCAAGCATCAAGCGCTGCGGCGATAATACACACTCGCGTTTAGGAGTCGGGACATACCGGAATATTCACTTGCACAATCGGGCCAGCAGTGCATCGTGACTGAAGTTTACCATTTGCACGTCTTTTTAAGTCTTACCAGTTAAAACAGCTGGCCAGTAACAAAAGTTATTTTTCGCGGATTATATTGCGGTCTTCGTGAAATAAGTATACTCTAAACATAGTCGCTTTTGTCTTTAGTAAGCATAAAACGCATGCCAGTATCATGAACACACTTCACAGGATCCGTGCACTATAGCTCTTAAAGTGACGGCAGCCATATGTGTGTGTCATTAATTTTGTTGTCAAAACAACAAAATATAGCTTTAAGTTAAAGGAATCAGGATTAATAGCCTATGTATTTAATTTTATTCAGGACTAAAATACTACCCAGTGTTATTTTCCATTTGATTACTTTATTCAGTTTCTGTATATGAATACTAGACCTATTCAAAAACTTTTCTCTTTATTTGTCTTTATTTGTATCTTTATTCTATTGTATTTATTTGTGCTACTTTTTTCAATTTAATTAAACAATTTAAATCAAGCTTCCTTGTGTTGTGTAAATTTACAACCCCATTGTAAAAATGCAATGAGCGCAAACATTTAGGCAAGATAAATGTAATAATTTTGTTTGGAAAAAATGCTTTTCCCTTTCTCCCCCTCAAACAAAAAAAATCCCCCCCATGAGAATCATCTAAGGGGGGATTTCCCCCCCATTTTCCAAAACGAAATTCAGGCCCTGTGTGGTTTGCTTTTGGTCGATCTCATGTGAGATCGAGGGGAAGTTATTTTGATTAATGATTATGAGCGCACATTAATTTTTCAACAAATTATGTGCATGGATAAATCATTTATAATAAATACTGGTTTTATGGTGAATTTAATAATACTTGATTTTAATTGTCTCCATCTGTTTTCAGGGGCTTTTTCCCAGTAGCGGTTGGCTTTATTAGGCGGGTGCCTATTCTGGGATCTATACTGAACCTTCCTGGTATCAGTGGAGTAAGTCAACCACAGTTTGTCACTGGTTTGGTATTTTGCGCTTGCATGACAGATACAGGTGAAACTGGAAAAATTAGAATATCGTGCAAAAGTTATAATTTTGATGGTTTTGTCTTACAGCTTATGAAAATTCAAAATCTCAAAAAAAATTAATATTACATGAAATCAATAAAAAAAAGGATTTTAAATATAGAAATGTCGGCCCTCTGAAAAGTATAATCATGCATATAGTTATATATACTAAATATATTCGTTTCACCTTTTAATTTGAATTACTGAAATGCATGAACTTTTGCACGATATTCTAATTTTTCGAGTTTCACCTGTACTTCAAATCCTGTCAAATGATTAATTTTGGCAATTGTGTTTCTCTTTCAGCTAGTGGATAAAGTCGGCGAGAGCAACACCATGGTATAACGGTCAACGGTTTAGTTTTCTATGAGTGGCTCATATTTATATTCGTCATAATGTGCTTCGGGCTCGGCGTCTTGCCGCCCAACCTCTCTGAACCACAGATGAGATTTTTGATATTTTACCTGTGAAGAAGTTTGTGTTTTTTCTGGGACTGATAACCAAACCAAGTCATTGTTGCTGCATCACGCGTCTCCCTCCAGGGGGCGACAGGGACCACTGACTTCACCCCGAAACGACGACACGTGGAGCGAACAATGAAGGAATCACTGGGTTCTGAATAAAGTCGTTACTGTTTTTAAAAAAAGAACGTTTTTTTAACGTGCCAACTGGTTTGTTTTGCTCTTTTTAATCATCAAAATCTTGAGGCTAATTTGGACGTTTTTCCACACGAGCGCCACCTAGTGGAGTGGAGACTGTTGCATCTCTTCGTGCTCACCAGGAAATTCAGCAACCTGCGTGAAATGCAGTTATGATACATGACTGACTTGTTTAAGTATTTGTACATACTTGAAATGTGAGACTAATATACATTTTTACTGACAAAGATTATGTTTAATAAATGGATTACCGTATATCCTTGATGGTCCAGCTAGTGTTGCCCGGACATCACATTTAAAGCCTTATACAAGTGCAAACATTACACAAACGTGTATATATTTGTAGCATTTGCCTTACGTATTGCATTTCAATATCAACATTTAATGTGTACATTGAGTAGTTCCTGCAATCAACAGTTATTTGGAAGAGCAACAATGTCAATCAAAAGTTTGGACACACCTAGTTATTCTTTATGGCTATTTTTCACATTTTGTGATCAAAAGTGAGAAATGAAAACGCTCATATTTGAGTCTGGATTCCAGTTCTTCTTACTCTGTCAGGGCATGCATAAACCATCTAGAAATGCATCATGGGAGGTTTTTAAACACTGTTGAACATGTAACCTGAACGCTTGATGATGCTTTTCTCCTTCACAATCCGCTCCAATGCATGCATAAAAAAAAAATATATATTAAGGTAAATCAAATGTTGACAATTTATATTTGTTTACAGAGCTAATTTAAAGGGTTTGAGCATAAACTTTTGGATCAAAAGGTTTTAAACATCAATTCAGTAAATTGTCTCCAAACTTTTGACTTGTAGCGTATAATATTTGCTATATTTCACCATAAGCTTTCAGACACCAAGATCAGTTTTACAGAGAATCATGTGTTTCTGATTATTTTAAGTATGCAGATTCAGACCCCTAAATCATTTGATAGTACAATTTATAAACTGTCCGGACAAAAAAAAAAAAAAGTCTCTGTTTGGATTTAAACAGGCAAATGCATAAGAGTGTATGATTGGATAATTATTGCAGTGATTATTATGTTTCTAGCATGTTATATGTTTGGCAACAGTTTTTCTAAAGTAGACTTTAAATGTTGTGATGTTTTTTCCATCAAGAGGTGCATCAGTTTTTGGTTTTGTCAATGTAAGAGTCCAGCGCTGTGTAAAGTCTCCTCCAGCACATCTCAAAGCCTTTCAGTGAATGGAAGATCTGGACTCAGAGGAGACGATTCATGTGTGGAAATGATTATTCATGTTTCCTCACAACCATTCCTTCACAATCTGAGCCTGAGGAATCTTGACATTGTCATGCTGGAATAAGGCCATGATGTGTCTTCCTACATGAAAAGCTACACACTCCATCCGTTAGGGTTAGAAGAACTGTTGCTAAACATATTATAACATGCTAATCACTGCAATAATGATCCATTCAAAGACTCTTACGCATTTGCATATTTAAATCCAAACGGAGACTTATTTTTGTCCAGGAAGTGCATTACTTAATACTAGGATATTTTTTAAAAATCGTATGCAACACCTCTAGTGAACCGCTCACGGGTGTCTTGAAGCAGCGATCAAACATCGGATGCTGTGAATAAAAGCTCTTGGTCGTGAGTTAGCGAGCGTTACAGGTCCTTCAGGTCTTTCTGGATGTGCCACAGCATGTCTGCGCTCTTCTTCAGCTGCGAGACCTCGTCGCTGGTCAGAGTCATGTTGACCACACTGCCCACTCCAGCGCTGTTCAACACACACGGCAGGCTCAGGTAGACCTCGTCACCGATCCCGTACATGCCCTGCAACAAACATCTGCATTCAGGCCTGGAAATGGCTTTCATCACTGATTTACTGTAGGATATTTAAAGGAGAACTCCGGTGCAAAATGAACCTCGGGTGTAATAACACATTGGTGCAGACTAAATCGTTCCCTGAGATTTGTTTTCATGATAATCGAATGTAAAGAGTTTTATCTCTAAAAACAGTTTAGCTTATAACGCTAGTATATTGGGCATCGAGTAAGCAAAAAGAGATCGCTAGTTAATACCATTAACAAGGCTCAAATTAGCCCCACACTAACACGGCAGCATAATGAGTGTCCTTACATGCAAACCGAAGCATTGAGAACTTTGTAAGTGTATAGACAGTTTAATAAGAAGATAGTTTACACAGACAGTACAGTTAGCGCATACAGACAGGAGCCATCTTGGAAAACATTCTCGATCAGTCAAACCACGAACACGGTGATACGTGAGCTGAACTGTGACTTGGAATCTCATATGGTCCGTTGTTTCCGGAAGAAAGCACTGAGCGCATAAGAGAAGCACTGAACGCAACAGAGAAAATAAAAAAAATAAATATAATTTATCTTATCTTCAATATCTACACGTACTGTTCGCTCACCTTCGTGGTTCGATTGATCGAGGCTGTTTTCCAAGATGGCTCCTGTCTGTATGCGCTAGCTGTACTGTCTGTGTAAAGTATCTTCTTATTAAACTGTCTATACACTTACAAAGTTCTCAATGCTTCGGTTTGCATGTAAGGACCCTCATTATGCTGCCGTGTTAGTGTGGGGCTAATTTGAGCCTTGTTAATGGTATTAACTAGCGATCTCTTTTTGCTTACTCGATGCCCAATATACTAGCGTTATAAGCTAAACTGTTTTTAGAGATAAAACTCTTTACATTCGATTATCATGAAAACAAATCTCAGGGAACGATTTAGTCTGTACCAATGTGTTATTACACCCGAGGTTCATTTTGCGCCGGAGTTCTCCTTTAAGGATTAGTTCACCTCAAAATGATTTACTCACCCCAATGCCATCCAAGATGTTCATGTATTTCTTTCTTCAGTGGAAAAGAAATTCAGTTTTTTGAGGAAAACATTTCAGGATTTTTCTCCACACAATGGACTTCAACGGTAGCCAAATTGTTGAAGTCCAAATCAATGCAGTTTCTATGAAGAGCTTCAAACGGCTCTGCACGACCCCAGCTGAGGATTGGAATAGGTTCTTATCTAGAGAAACCATCGCTCATTTTCTTAAAAAAATAAAAATGTATATACTTTAACCACAATTGTTCATCTTGTGCTGGTCTGCGACGCGCCAGGCATTACGTAATCACGTTGGAAAGGTCACGCTGGACGTAGGCGGAAGTGCCGCCCCATTGTTTACAAGCGTGGAGAAGTAGGATCGTTCAAATTTTATTGTATGTTGAATGACATATTTATGTCTTTGTGTCAGTTTATTGTTTAAAATGGTCCTTTCGTCTGCGTATCCTGGATGTTTAAAACAATGGGGCGGCACTTCCGCCTACGTCCAGCGTGACCTTTCCAACGTGATTACGTAATGCCTGGCGCGTCGCAGATACAAGACGAACAATTGTGGTTAAAAAGTATATACATTTAAATTTTTTTAAGAAAATTGTTTCGCTAGATAAGACCCTGTTCCTCAGCTGGGGTCGTGCAGAGCCGTTTGAAGCTCTTCATTGAAACTGCATTGATTTGGACTTCAACAATTTGGTTGCCGTTGAAGTCCATTGAGTGGAGAAAAATCCTGAAATGTTTTCCTCAAAAAACTGAATTTCTTTTCCACTGAAGAAAGAAAGACATGAACATCTTGGATGGCATTGGGGTGAGTAAATTATCAGGAAAGGTTCATTTTGAGGTGAACTAATCCTTTAAATGAAGTTCAAAACATTAGCCCCTTTCACACAGCGCTTTGAACCCGGCAAATTGCCAGAGTGCCTTCTGTGTGAACGCAAACACGACCCGGGATTGATGCCGGGATCGATGCCGGGTTGGGGACCTAGTAACATTGCCGTGTTCAGACCCGGAACGCGCGCTGTGTGAACAAAAGCCAGAACCAACGCCGTATAAGGGGTGTGTCGTAGTGATGATTCACGAGCCTTTGCAATGACGTAGTTATCGTGCGACTCAGTTACTCTAGAAGAAAGTTTGTGTTCGTCATCGATGCAAGAAAGAACGAAAAAATGTCTGCAAACTGGACTGAAGTAGAGACCCGTCACATCCAACGTCACGCGTCTTTCCGGAACATACACGGGTTGTGTGTGAACGCGCTCTCTGATTCCGGCAAATCACTGGCAGTGTGAATGAAGCCAAATCAAACGAACCCGGGTCAAATCCCGGGTCACTTTATCCGTGTATTTTCCGGAATCTCTGTGTGAAAGGGGCTATTCAGTCCGGTCAATCATCATTACGAGCGTACTATATAAGCACTCCTCCTCCAGTAAATGATCTCAATCCTCTTAAGCGCAATTCCACCACAGGGGGTTTAACTCGGAGCTCAAGCCGAGCCTCGGGTTCGAGCCTCCTCCAAGGACAGCAAGCCAAGTTAGTTTACCATTTAAGCGCACGGCTGAATGAGCAGGCGAACTAGTGAAAGGGTTATTTCACCCAAAAAATTACTCACCCTCATGTCGTTCCAAACCCGTAAGACTTTTGAGTCGTGTCTCTTCAGAAAATTTGGACTAAAGCACTAAATTTATATGGATTAGTTTTACGATCTACTTTTTGAAGTGTAAAAGTGGTAGTGCAAAAGTGCGTAGCGGTCAATGGAGGAACAGAAACCTCTCAGATTTCATCAAAAAGATCTTTATTTGTGTTCCGAAGATGAACGAAAGTCTTACGGGTTTGGAACGACATGAGGGAGAGTAATTACTGACAGATTTAAACGTTTTTGGGTGAAGTATTTCATTGATGTCAGTATGACAACATGCCCCACTATAGCATGAACTTGTTTAATAAATACATTGTTTTGGGGGAAAATGGTGGAAATTTTTAATAGCTTTTTTTGTGGTCAAGACTTTAGGGGTTGTGTCTTTACACTGAGAAACATTTACTGGATTAATGTGTGATAAATAGCCCCGGTCTCCGCTACTTACAAGCAATCATATTATCACAAGCATTATAATTGTCTAATATAACTTTATAAATGTCTTTACTGTCACTTTTGATCAATTGAATGTGTCTTTTCTGACACACTTTAAAAAAAAAACTCTAACAGACCCTGAACTGTTGAACATTAGTGTGTGTGTGTTATATGTTCCGTAACACTGTCCTGACCTTCACCATGGTGGAAACGGGATGGACTCGGTTCAGGTTCTTCATCAGACTCTCGCTCAGGTCGGCCACGCTCAAGCCGATGGCCCAGTTAGTGTAACCTTTCAGCCGGATCACCTCATAGGCACTGAATAAAAAGTAGTGCATACTCATTTCTGTCTGAATGCATTTTGTTTTTAAACAAAATGAATTATAAAGTATATTTATTTGTGAGATAACGAGACACAACACTGAATCAATCCTGCGATGTAGTGAAGTCACGTGATGACAGTGTTGCATACTTTTGGATGTTTATTGTTCCTTTCGCATACTAATTCATTAATTAGGACTGATAGCTAAAAGACGAACTCATTGACGTACCTGTCCACGACCTTCTTGTGCGTATCTTTCCAGTTCTCTCTGTCCGTGTCTTTGCCGATGTCAGGATTGAGTTTCTGCAGACTGACTCCTGCCACATTAGTGCCGCTCCACACAGGAACTGCAAAGCAAACACACAGACACCATGAGTTCTTGAATGATATTAAATGTTCAGAATTTAATGGCAATATTTATGGTTTTATTTTATTTTATGTTTATTGGTAATAAATAGAATGTATTTTATAAAAACTTAAAATTTTACAATTTATATAATTATATTATTACACATATAATTCATTATTATTCATATTATTTCAATTTTGAATAATAAATATTAATAATTATTAATTTTATTAGACTATTTTATTATTTATTAGTATGTATGCTAATAATGCATATTAATTATAATTGTTTTAATATTTTTATTATACATGAACCTAATATATTTTATTAATTATTAATTACATAATTTATATATATTTTTATAATTAATGCAAATTATAATTCAATATTTTATCATTTATATTTTATAATGTATTATTTTTATTATTAATTATTATAATTTATTTATAATTTAATTTATATTTTATATAATTAAATACAAAAATACGCATACAAATACTGTATACATTTATTTTATATAATAGTAATATAAATATCTTTACTAATATATTCTTACGCACACACACACACACACAGGTCTGTATGGTCTCACCGCTGGAGTCTCCGTGTTCTCCCAGTATCCACCCGCTGAAGCTGCTGGGATGGATGCCCAGCCTCTCGGCCATCAGGAACCGGAAGCGAGCCGAGTCCAGGTTTGTCCCGCTGCCGATGACGCGGTGCTTCGGGAGGCCGCTCAGCTTCCAGGTCACGTACGTCAAAACATCCACTGTAGCAGAAAAACTGTGTTATAAACGCAAAAAAAGTGTGGTGTGTGACCAAGAGAGTGAGTGTGTGACCGAGAGAGTGAGTGTGTGTGACCAGAGAGTGAGTGTGTGTGACCAGAGAGAGTGAGTGAGTGTGTGACCAAGAGAGTGAGTGTGTGTGACCGAGAGAGTGAGTGTGTGTGACGAGAGAGTGAGTGTGTGTGACGAGAGAGTGAGTGTGTGTGACCAGAGAGTGAGTGTGTGTGACCAGAGAGTGAGTGTGTGTGACCAGAGAGTGAGTGTGTGTGACGAGAGAGTGAGTGAGTGTGTGCAGTGAGTGTGTGTGACCAGAGAGTGAGTGAGTGTGTGACCAGAGAGTGAGTGTGTGACCAGAGAGTGAGTGAGTGTGTGGCCAGAGAGAATGAGTGTGTGTGACCAGAGAGAGTGAGTGTGTGTGACTAGAGAGTGAGTGTGTGACCAAGAGAGTGAGTGTGTGACCAAGAGAGTGAGTGTGTGACCGAGAGAGTGAGTGTGTGACCGAGAGAGTGAGTGTGTGACCAGAGAGTGAGTGTGTGACCAGAGAGTGTGTGTGACGAGAGAGTGAGTGAGTGTGTGGCCAGAGAGTGAGTGAGTGTGTGGCCAGAGAGTGAGTGAGTGTGTGTGACCAGAGAGTGAGTGTGTGACCAGAGAGTGAGTGAGTGTGTGGCCAGAGAGTGAGTGAGTGTGTGTGACGAGAGAGTGAGTGAGTGTGTGACCAGAGAGTGAGTGAGTGTGTGGCCAGAGAGAGTGAGTGTGTGACCAGAGAGTGAGTGTGTGGCCAGAGAGTGAGTGAGTGTGTGGCCAGAGAGTGAGTGAGTGTGTGGCCAGAGAGTGAGTGAGTGTGTGGCCAGAGAGTGAGTGAGTGTGTGTGGCCAGAGAGTGAGTGAGTGTGTGACCAGAGAGTGAGTGTGTGACCAGAGAGTGAGTGTGTGACCAGAGAGTGAGTGAGTGTGTGGCCAGAGAGAGTGAGTGTGTGTGACCAGAGAGAGTGATTGTGTGTGACCAAGAGAGTGAGTGTGTGACCGAGAGAGTGAGTGTGTGACCGAGAGAGTGAGTGTGTGACCGAGAGAGTGAGTGTGTGACCGAGAGAGTGAGTGTGTGACCGAGAGAGTGAGTGTGTGACCGAGAGAGTGAGTGTGTGACCAGAGAATGAGTGTGTGTGACCAGAGAGTGAGTGTGTGTGACCAGAGAGTGAGTGAGTGTGTGTGGCCAGAGAGTGAGTGAGTGTGTGGCCAGAGAGTGAGTGTGTGACCAAGAGAGTGAGTGTGTGTCAAGAGAGTGAGTGTGTGACCGAGAGAGTGAGTGTGTGACCGAGAGAGTGAGTGTGTGTGACCAGAGAGTGAGTGTGTGTGACCAGAGAGTGAGTGTGTGTGACCAGAGAGTGAGTGTGTGTGACCAGAGAGTGAGTGAGTGTGTGGCCAGAGAGTGTGTGAGTGTGTGGCCAGAGAGTGAGTGAGTGTGTGGCCAGAGAGTGAGTGTGTGTCAAGAGAGTGAGTGTGTGACCAGAGAGTGAGTGTGTGACCAGAGAGAGTGAGTGTGTGTGACCAGAGAGTGAGTGTGTGACCAAGAGAGTGAGTGTGTGACCGAGAGAGTGAGTGTGTGTGACCAGAGAGTGAGTGTGTGTCAAGAGAGTGAGTGTGTGACCAGAGAGAGTGAGTGTGTGACCGAGAGAGTGAGTGTGTGACCGAGAGAGTGAGTGTGTGACCGAGAGAGTGAGTGTGTGTAACCAAGAGAGTGAGTGTGTGACCAAGAGAGTGAGTGTGTGTGACCAAGAGAGTGAGTGTGTGTGACCAAGAGAGTGAGTGTGTGTGACCAAGAGAGTGAGTGTGTGTGACCGAGAGAGTGAGTGTGTGTGACCAGAGAGTGAGTGTGTGTGACCAGAGAGTGAGTGTGTGACCGAGAGAGTCAGTGTGTGTGACCAGAGAGTGAGTGTGTGTGTCGAGAGAGTGAGTGTGTGTGTCGAGAGAGTGAGTGTGTGTGTCGAGAGAGAGTGAGTGTGTGTGACCAGAGAGTGAGTGTGTGTGACCAGAGAGTGAGTGTGTGTGACCAGAGAATGAGTGTGTGACCAAGAGAGTGAGTGTGTGTCAAGAGAGTGAGTGGGTGACCGAGAGAGTGAGTGTGTGTGACCAGAGAATGTGTGTGTGTGACCAGAGAATGTGTGTGTGACCAGAGAATGTGTGTGTGACCAGAGAATGAGTGTGTGACCAAGAGAGTGAGTGTGTGTCAAGAGAGTGAGTGTGTGACCGAGAGAGTGAGTGTGTGACCGAGAGAGTGAGTGTGTGTCAAGAGAGTGAGTGTGTGACCGAGAGAGTGAGTGTGTGTCAAGAGAGTGAGTGCGTGACCGAGAGAGTGAGTGTGTGACCGAGAGAGTGAGTGTGTGTCAAGAGAGTGAGTGTGTGACCAAGAGAGTGAGTGTGTGTGTGACCGAGAGAGTGAGTGTGTGACCGAGAGAGTGAGTGTGTGTCAAGAGAGTGAGTGTGTGACCGAGAGAGTGAGTGTGTGACCGAGAGAGTGAGTGTGTGTGTGACCGAGAGAGTAAGTGTGTGACCGAGAGAGTGAGTGTGTGTGACCAGAGAGTGAGTGTGTGTGACCAGAGAGTGAGTGTGTGTGACCAGAGAGTGAGTGTGTGTGACCAGAGAGTGAGTGTGTGTGACCAGAGAGTGAGTGTGTGTGACCAGAGAATGTGTGTGTGTGACCAGAGAATGTGTGTGTGACAAGAGAGTGAGTGTGTGTCGAGAGAGTGAGTGTGTGACCGAGAGAGTGAGTGTGTGACCGAGAGAGTGAGTGTGTGTGACCAGAGAGTGAGTGTGTGTGACCGAGAGAGTGAGTCTGTGACACTGTGAGTTTGAGTGTGTGACAGTGTGTTTGTTTTTGTGATATATGAGGACACAAATGTGTATAATGACATGCATATTACACTGGTATTACAACTTACACGTGATATATGAGGACATTGCATGTGTCCTCATATTTCAAATAGCTTAAAAAACATAAAAAACAATGGTTTTTTTTTTATGTAAAAATGCAGCATGTCTCCTGTGATGGGTAGGTTTAGGGATAGGGGCAGTGTAGGGGGATAGAATATACAGTTTGTCCAGTATAAAAGTCATTACGCCTATGGAATGTCCTCATATATCACAAAAACAAAGCTGGGTGAGTGTGTGTGTGTACCTGGGTTGGACACCACGATGAGGATGCAGTTGGGACTGTATCTGACGATCTGAGGGATGATGTGTTTGAAGATGTTGACGTTCCTCTGCACCAGATTGAGTCTGCTCTCGCCCTCCTGCTGTCGAACGCCTGCCGTCACCACCACCACACGAGAGTTGGCCGTCACAGAGTAATCTGAAGGACAAAACATTTCACAAGGGAGCTTTATTAGCTCTTTTTAAAACAAACCACTCAAAATTCCCAAGCAACCATATCGTAACATAATAATACAAAACATATTAGCAACTGCTTAGCAACACCCTGGCAACCACCAGCATCATAGTGGCGACTTTTGCATGAGTGAGTAACATTGACAGAAGAAGAGCGCTACCTTTGCCTGAGACGATCTTCGGCGTCTTTAAGAAGAGACTTCCATGCTGTAAGTCCATCATCTCCCCCTTGAGTTTGTCCTCGACCACGTCCACCAGCGCCAGCTCGTCCGCCAGCTCCTGCACACACACACACACACAACAAATAACTCACAAATGACATATACTCATACTACACACAAGTATGTACTTTATTTTAAAATAAAATTATTTTTTTAGACACGTGATGATAGATAGAAATAATAACAGTACAAATAATAATAATTATACTACTTCTAGTAATAGAAATATGAAAATAGAGAAGAAAATAAATAACATATTAAAGAAATAATAATTTTAAAAATAGATATAATAATGTTTTAGAGACAGTTACACCTATACATTATTGACATTGAGACTAACAAAAATGTAAAAAATTAAATAAAATAATTAAACTGAAAACATGTTTTTCTGTGTATTTTATATAGTGAATGTCAAATCATTGGCCAATACAGGTTCTTCAAACACAACTTATTTTTGTCCTAATCTAGTTATTTGTTGACCTGTTAGACTCAGAATTGCTCATCTATGTTTGTGCAGGCCGTGGTTCTTCACTTTTTTTCTAATTGGACCAAGGGATCAAAGTCAAGCTCAGACAAACATGACCCAAATCTATTGAAAAATGATTGATATTGTGACACACTGACCTACTGACATCCTCAGCATGAGCAAAATGTCCATACCCTCTTGTACAATCAAAAAACAAACAAGGAATTTGTCACAAAGTCCGAATTCTGTTGGCGAGAACAGCCTGTCACGATCAATGACTTCATAACGTTCACAGTCTCACCCGCAGGAGAATGCTGACGGCACAGGCCATGCCAACCTGTCCCACGCCGACCACCGTCACTTTATTCCTGGGCGGTTCGACCGGCCCGCTGAACAGAGGAGTGATGAGCTTCTGCAGAACTGATGCCATCTTCAACACTGCAGAGGAGGACAATCGTCAAATCACGGCAAACACACACTCACACTGCTCTCTAAATGAGGACATTCCATAGACATAATGATTTTTATACTGTACAAACTGTATATTCTCTCCCCTAACCGTCCGTACCCCTAACCCTACCCATCACACACAACTTTCTGCAGTTTTACATGGTTAAAAAACCTGATTTACAAAGGAGTACGTCCATAAAGAGAGGTTTTGGTCACTTCTGGGCACAAATGTGTCCCCAAAACATAGTTAAGTAGACACACACACACACGTGTAATATCTGAATTATTTCTCTTAAAATGGCAATGATATGAAAAAGAGAGCAACTGGAGACTTTTTCCTGTATCTCAGCATCTCATCTAGAGATCTCTACAATATCTCAATTTGCGAAGACACCAAAGTCTGAATCAAAAGATCTCAATATTTCTCACAACATGTAACAGAAACTTTTTTTTTTTTACTAATAAAAACGACACAATTGGAAAAAATTGTAGGCTAATTAAAAATAGATTTTAATTAATTGTTAAAAATACCTTGTTGATTCTAATAACATGCTTATACTCGTTTACATATACATTATCATTCTGGGGAAAACAATTACCAAAAAAAAAAAAAAAAACAGAAAGAGCTATAGCTTCAAATTTACAGGAATAATTTAAAGAATTCGAAAGGAAAATACAAGGTTAATTTGAGGTGAAGCAAGTAAGTCTCAAGAGAACATGTTGGTTAAATTAGTCCCAGATTAGGTTTTGCCCGAACAACCTCTAACCATGTTGATGATTAAAAACCTCACCAAGCAACAATTCCCAAAACTCAGTCAACAGAGCAGCAAATGGAGAACCTCATCTCCTAATCAAACAATCAGAACACACAGATGATATAGAAATAAAGCAGCATGTGGCACATTAAGATCTCACCGGTACACAGATGCTCTTCAGTAAATCACACAGGCATCACAAGAAATCTGCTGTAATGAAGAACCTGCTTATAATATCTGCTGCTGTCTGTATAGATCAAGGTCACTTACAGGACACTCCTCCAGTGATGTATCATGAGGACAAACACACACGTCCTGTCCGATATACACTCAAACAAACTCTGATCCTCACGTAACCCTCCTCTCGTTTCCAATCAAGGTCATTTAAGAAGACTACATGTTCAGCATCCACTCTTGTTAAAACACAAGCACAAGTCAGTCTTACCATGTGTGTAGAGGCTTTGCGCGCCCAGGTAGAGATACCACCATGACACCAGCATGTTATTGTGTGGTATATTAATATGAGGCTCTGTCCTCTGCAGTCAGTGCTTTAGTGCCAGTCCTGTGCCAGGCTAATGGAGTTACTGTAATCCGCTGCCATCTGCTGTACAGCCGCTGAAACACACGGTGAGAGATTAAAACCACAGAGAAATCACACGACACTGGTCCTGAGTTTAAACTGGTGTGTGTGTGTGTGTGTGTGTGTGTGTGTGTGTGTATTGTCAGGCGCACAGGTAAAGCTGTGAATTAGCGGAGTTCATGCGACTGATTGACACCTGTCACTTTCTGATTAGCCTTAGGCTACTTATGAGTGACACGAGGGGTCAGACAGCAGATAGGCTAACGTTAGAGATCTTTAAACTACCTCAACAAATTACTTAATAAATACTCTTGACATACCAGCAAGCAAAATGTGCATGATTGTCATACAGCCTAACTATACCGTAATAAAATATTTAGCATGTAGTAGGCTAGCTAGCTAGATTGTGCCGATCTTATTGCCGATAATCAACAAAGTTTGAATCCAAGCACTGATACATCAAAAGTACATCGGATGATCGACATCGGCCAATATTGTATTTAAATTAGCCTGCTGTTATCGGTATGATTTGGCCGTTAAAATAGCACCTGTTTTGTCGGGTTCAAACTATATGACACATAAAAAAAATATTTAAAAAATCAATAGCCTACATAAAATTGGTTTCTAATGTAGGCTAAGCCATAACTGCAGCATGAACATATGATTTGTGCATAATTTTTAATGCATAATCGATTTAGTATGGAAGCTTGTTTCCCACAAAAAAAATACTTTTTTTGACTTTGAGTTACAATTCCCTTTTATATTTTTTTATTTATTGGTGGTGGGAAAAAACTTCCATAATTTTGTCATATGACAATAAAACCATAATAAAAACATTTAGGATATGCTTACAGTGTAAGAGCATGATTTAAAAAAAACTATATCGTCAACCATATATACTGTAGGTATCATATTGGTAAGCATTTTATTTTAATTATCGGTTAAATTTGGCCTTGGTTGGTTAGAAGTCAACAGAGGTCATTTTACAAACAAATTAAAGAATACACTTATTCTATACCACTTTTTCTATGCACAAAAATCTTGCAGGCCTAGATAAAGCAGCACATTCCTAATAGTGTTTCTGATCTTAGCATTACCTACAATAATAACTTACATTATCTATAAATTATTACTATAGCAATAGTATAATTACCCTCGTGTGTCAGTTTCCATATATCAACAGAGGAAAAAAGCTTTCAAAAACATGTGAAATACTGTAGTAAAAGGTCATTTAAGACTTTTTTCAGCATGTTCTATGATATCTTATTTGTGTATATCAAGTAAAATATATATATTTTTTTAAAATACTCCAGCACCTTATTTTTATACAGAGGTAAGCTATTCTCTGTTAATGCTTAATAAAAATAACATGCAGTAAACAGTAAATCCATTCACACTACAAACTAGTTTTTATTATCATAAATTAAAATATAACAATTAGCAGTCTGCAACACGGACTGATTTTCTACAGCTAAAATTACTGACCCCTCTTACACAGACAGTAAAAGCTCTTACAGAGTGTGCGACCCTTTTTGTGCAAAAATAAACAAACAAATAAACCATACTGTAGAGTTACTGCAGCATGTGCTGAGTTACTGTAATACCATGACGTCTTACACTCCTGCAGATTTCAAATGTTAACAGCAAAAACACTAAATGTGCAACCACAAAGAATTAGACAATGAATTTGAAAAACAATCCTTAGAGAAACTAGTGAGAACTCAAATTTATTGATTGAACATGACAACATGAAACAAAAAGAGAGACAGCACTTCTTTAGTATAATATCCAGGTAGCTCTTTATTTGTACTACTGACAAAACAAATGTCAGAGGTTAAAACCAGACGGCATTCATTCAGGTCACAACCATTTTTATATAGACTATTTAGACATGGAACTGCCCCGTGAAGGAGAGCGGTTCCCCTTTATTGTGATGTCAGGGGTGAGTGGGGCTCAGGACAGGCTTAAATATAGAAAACAGGAGGTGTGGTGCAGCTGTCGGAGGGGAAGGTGTGTGTTCGCTGGATCTCACTGGCTGTGTCTACTCTGTGAGTCCGAGCTTCTTCTTCAGGGACTCGGGCATCTCGGGGGGAGGAGGGCGGGGCAGGCGGAAGTAGACCTTCACAGAGTCATAGATGAACCACTGCAGGGCCGTCAGGGTACCGATCATGATGATACGGGCCACCAGACCCTTCCACACACCTGAACAACAACATACACAAGTGGATGAGAATTTTAAAAAGTCAATTTGGTAATGCATTGTTGGAATTGCTGAATTGTTTGATTTGAATAGTTTGTCTGCTCTCCAGCGGTTCTGCCCTGGTGTTTTCCTGAGACGGTTCAGGGCAGAGAGGATGCTGGGTAAGCAGGTAGACTGATCTCACACGCCAATGACTCAAGCACCTCCAACTGTACAGCGGTAAAGCTGCTGGGAGCCTCCGGCCCGATCCTGCTGATCCCAGAGGGAGAGAGCAGAACCGGACCGGAGAAACTCCCCAGAGGTGGATCTAAGGAGCGTGTTGATCTGGAGTGTGTTTCCCGAAGGCATCGTTAGCCAACTACAGTCGCAAGTTCTGTCGTTATCAGGATAGTTCAACGAGTCGGTGTTTCAACGAACATTCGCAAACAGCATCGAAAAGTTGTGTTTGCGCATGACATGTGGACTCAAATCCTTGTCTTGAGCAAAACAAGCAAGCTGACATTCAGTACAATCTAGATCTTTTATTTAAGATACATACAAATGTCATTTATGTCTTTGAGTTTGTCAAGAGATTTAAGGCGCTGTTTTTAAAGACTGCGCATGTGTGAAAGAGCTCTAGTGTGTAAGAACGAGCCTATGAGTGAATCTGGAAATAAAGCAAAATAACAGAAAAATTAGAAATATTCCTCAGATGTCATGTGTGTAATTCATAGCAAAACATCTAGCATTAATTCAATCTCAAACAGATTTATTAAAAGAAGTTATTACTCCAGCACGTGCGTGACATCATTAACCAACATGGTTAAAGGACCAATTTGCGACAATGATTTTGGGAAACAGTCGTGACTCGCTAGTTGATTTCTTCAACGACACACTGTACTATAGTAGTTAAGCAGCGAGTTACGTCATGTTCGGGAAACACACTCCAGGATGTACAAGAAAGAAAGATTGTAAAACACAATGAATTGAGAACAAGTGTCTCACCTTTAGGTCCCAGCTTCTTGAGCACTTGAGCGGCTGTGCTTCCCTTCTCTTTGTTCAACACGGACACGACCGAGTCAGCAGGGTGAGACACGATAGCACAGAACACACCAGCTACAAGAGACAAGAGGAACATGCATCACGTCTCCATTTACAGATCTCCGAGCTGTATGAATATTGTGCACATTTAAGAAGAAATAACTTCAAAGAAAAAAAATACAGAAATTAATGGAAATATAGAAATTAATATGGGTATTAGAATAATGATGATAATAACTACAATAAAAAAAAAGCAGAATTAAATATAAAATTAATAAAACAACATTAAAAAGTAATTTAATAGAAAAAAATATTAATAGAAATACAAATTAAGGTAATACAATAGAAAATTAATATAAAACTAGAATTAAAGAACTAGAATAAAATGGATTTAATAAAATATTACAAAGAAATATGTAATAGAAAAAAAACTATATAAATTAATAGACATTAAGGTAATACAATACAATAATTATAATGAGAATATAGCATAAAAAATAACAAAATTAGCATTAAACAGAATAAAATAAGTAAATTTACAATAATAAAATGTATAATAAATTAAGAAAATATTAACAATTAAAATTATAAAAATAACAGTGATATAAAATTAATAATATTAATCATATACACCAATTATAATATATAATTAATATAAATGATCATTTTGAATAATCATTTATTTAAAATGAAAAAATGATCAAATATGAGAATATTTAAATGGTAACAATTTACAATACGGTTCCCTTTGTTAACATTACTTATCTACATTAGCTAACATGAACTAATATTTCAACATTTACTAATACATTATTAAAAATCAAAAGTTGCATCTGTTACTATTATTTAATAGATCTGAGCAACATGACCTAACCTTGACCTTTTTTTTTATTAACTAACGTTAAAGATTAATAAACAATAACGCATTGTTAACGCATTAACTGATGTTAACGGCCGGAACCTTATTGTAAAGTGTTACACCATTACATCAATCCAATCCACAGAAATCATCCTTACCGATGTAACCGGCCGTGAACGTGACGACCAGCTGTTCGGATTTGGAGCATTCGCTGCGGGGTTTGGGCACCACGTACTTGTAGAGCAGCTCGACGGTGCGCTCGAAGCAGGCGAACTTCATCATGGTGTACGGGATCTGCCTCATCCACAGAGGAACCACACCTTTGTAGAACCTGCCAGAACCAGAACCACTCATTAACTCTCCGAAGAGCCGACAAACGGGCTCGCCGGTTTATTTGAATAGTTTGTCTGCTCTCCAGCGGTTCTGCCCTGGTGTTTTCCTGAGACGGTTCAGGGCAGAGAGGATGCTGGGTAAGCAGGTAGACTGATCTCACACGCCAATGACTCAAGCACCTCCAACTGTACAGCGGTGAAGCTGCTGGGAGCCTCCGGCCCGATCCTGCTGATCCCAGTGAGAGAGAGCAGAACCGGACCAGAGAAACTCCCCAGAGGTGGATCTAAGGAGCGTGTTGAGCTTTAAACGGGTTTAAAGTGCGGGATACTCACGCCCAGATTCCTTCCTCGGCGTACATCTTAGGGGCACATTCTCTCAGGGTGTTGGCATAGCCAGGCTGGGTCTGGATACGCACTTTACACGCCTCCATAGGGGCCAGAGCCATATCTGCGAAGAACTCAGCGCTGGCAGAAGCAGCCAGATACAGCGAGGTTCTCCACAAGTACGAGTTTTCCTGTGAGAGGACAGGAGGAACACATG